GGAGGTATTCCCTCCTGCGTGGAAGCGTTTGCTTGCACACATTGCGTCTTCCATCGTGACCTCGCTTCCATCTGCAGCGGTGCTGTCTGGGTCTTGTTCTTGGCGGCGAATCCCTTTCAGGGCCAGGGAGAGAAGGGCGCATCCTTGCATGTCTCGTCTGTCCACGATGGGACAGTGACCATTCTCCTCTTGGGCCTGAAGAGGGACTGTCCTTCGCAGAGCCACTTGCTCCAGCCCGTGGCGGTGGACGCACAGCGGCCTGCCAGGAGTCCACCTGCCCGGGCGCCCTTCCAGGCCTGGTGAGCTGCCGTGTCCAGAAAACTTTGGAGAAAGCATGGCGTTGCTCCTCGTCTTGCAGACCAGCCTTCTGCCCCAGCTCCCAGGCCCACAGAGCCTACAGAGCCCTCCCTGCTTGCGGTGCCCGGGCCCGGCTCTTACCTGAACTTCTGCTGGCCACTTCTCCCTCTGCTGCTACTGCCCATGTCTTCCATGGTAATTTCGTCGTCGTGGTCTTAATTGGTTTTCAACAGTCATAGAAAAGCTATGGCCCACTACCGGGACTGAACCAGGAGGGAGCCCAGAAAGCACAGTCAACCTCTGAGCTTCCACACTAGGCCAGGGGAGCACAGAGGCTTCATGCAGAACAACTGGTCTGAGCTCTGATGGGCTGGGCATCTGCCTTGCTGTGACAGAGGAGCTACCAAGGACTTGGGGAACACAGATGGGAAGTTCCCTGGCCCCTGAGGGCAAAGTTAGATAACAAGGACAAGGAGTTGACAGCAAAGTCCTGGAGGACATGGGCTTCCTCACCCTGTGGAGAAGGCTGTGTGCGGCCCAGAGGCTCTGGCCCGGATGCTGTCTTGTCTCCCACACAGGCAGGTCCAAGGCTCCAGCCACCACCACTGGCTTGGGACCCACCATTCGGATCAGCCCAGGGCCTGGGCTTCTGGGGCTGGCCCTGAGATCACAGGCAGAGTCCTCTCCTGCTGCTCAGCAGCTGGGGCCCATCTCCGTGGGAGTGGAGCAGAGCGCGTTGGCCTCCTTCTCTGTGGTTACTCACCGGAAGCGGTGCTCAGCCAGCCTGAGCCAGTGGCTTTCTTCACATAGCCTCTGTTGGTAGCAAGGCTGCAATTCACTGAGCAGTCTCCTCATGCAAGACTGGGAAGCAGAAACACAAAGGGAAGGGTGAGTTTCCTCCCTGGGAGTGGCAGGCTCCGGGGCCGCATCTTCCCTCCGAGTCTTTTGCGATAGAAGCAGCCAAGGGTGGCCATGTGCACACCAGCCAGAGCACCACGGTCCAGTCTCTGCCCGGTTAGACAAGCCATGTAAACTGTCCCATCATTGCAGAAATAAAAAAGGAAAAGGAAGCTCTCTCCAGGCCTCAGTTTCTCTGAAGATAATGAAAGATCGCATCCCTCCCTGGTGTAATCAATAGTGCAATCAGTACTGCTGTAATGTTACGCTCGTAACATTTGTGCTTATGTGGCGTACACCTAGCCAATATCACAGCGTACTTCTAGAAGTGAGCCCTTTAAAAATGAAAACAGATGAAGAACCTGCACTTCCCAGAGCACGGTGGAAAATGGGAGGGGTAATAGTTAACAGAGAGGTACTTCTGAAAAAGTTGGAGCCCTGAAACTCTGAGAACCTAAGCAGTCTTTAAGTGTATTTCTTTATGCTTACCACCCTAGAAAACGCAGGTGGGAGCTAGTTGGAGGCGGTTTCTTCACAGCACACTGCCCCAAATGGAAATTTAAAGGACATAGGATAGGCCAGGTTCCAAAGATCAGAAGATCACAGACAGTGATTAAATCTTAGGAAGACTATAAATAAGGCGATGATTATGGACTTTGAACAGTAAATCAGATGACCTAACCATTAACTCTCTAAAGCTATGCAAAACATTTATTACTGATTTATTTTTTTAAAGAAAAACTGGCAAACATTGTCTTTGGAAAACAACAACTAGATCTTATGATTTTATTTTATTTATGATTTTATTATTTATTCTTTGAGTTAGAGAGATTTGACATATGAATCGGTCACTTCTGCGAGGTGTAGTTCATTTCTCCTTGTTCCAGCATTTGTGATCTTGTTATCTTAAGGCAGTTTCAAATTATTTCATCAACCTTGGTCTTCGCCTGTAATTTATACAGTGGAATTTATTTGCTCATTGATGTGAATAATTTTCAGTGGCTTGCCAAACAGCCTGTGGCAGTGAAAGACTCAAGCTGCAAATATTAGCCTTTCCTGTGTGAGTCCAGTGTAACAGAATCAAATTGAAATGCAGACACAAGGTGGCTGGACTGTAGGCAGTCTGAACGAATTCAGAAGTCCTTGCCGTCGTCTGTAATTGAGAAAACAAATTGGGCTGCCATCCTTGGGAGGCAAGGGGCGGGCTTGGCTCCTGGGCTCCGAGCCCCAGGTGAGATCAGCCTCCCACAGAACACAGAAGAAGAGCAGAGCCCAGCAGTGGGGGCTTTCCCTGGCCTCAGCTGGGCCTGGTTGTGCTGGGTGCTGGTCAGGATGGGGGAGGGAAGGTCAGCAGCCTGTGGTATAGTCCTCTGCTTCTCCACCAGGTACAGAGCTCACACAGGTGAGACTGAAGATGTGGCCAGGGACTTCACCGTGCAGAAAAGCAAGCTCTGAATGGCTACAAGCTGAGGCTGTGGCTAAAGTCCCAATAATCCCCAACCCTAATAATCTCCATTTACACACTGACCTTCATCCTTTGGTAGGTGCAAGATTAGTCTGAAAATCAGAGCTTTCTCCTATTTCTTTGATGATTTGAGTTTGATTATTTGGCTTGATTATTTGGTAACTCATGTCTGTAATCCTAGCTGCTTGTGAGGCTGTGAGCTAGAGGATCTGGGCTCAAAGCCAGGGAGCCTGGGGACGGAAAAGGCCATGAGGCTGTGTCCAAACTAATCAACAGAAAGCTCCGACAATAAGAAGTCTTAGGTTCATAACCTACCACTGCCCATAAAATCAACAGAAACAGAAACAAAACCGAAACGAAAACAAAAACAAGAAGGATGGGTTTTAAAACTCCTGGAATTATTATACGTAGCAAAGAAGGACTGACTTCATTTCATTTCTTTTTTGCCACTCTTGGGGCTTGAACTCAGGGACTGGGTGTCGTCCCTGAGCCTCTTTTAACCCAAGCCAGCACTCAAGTCACAGCACCACTTGTGGGTTTCTGGGGGTTCACTGGAGATAAGAGTCTCACAGGCATTCCTGCCCAGGCTGGCTGTGAACCACAATCCTCAGATCTCAGCTAGGATTACAAGCGTGAGCCACCGTGCCCAGCTTTCATTTCTTTAAATGCAATTTCAAACTAAACAAACTTTCCCTAACGTTCTACTTTCTCTAACATATTGTGTTGATCATTAACTATGATGTTTGAGAGTATTATGAAATCTAGATGGAAAGATTCGTTGATGGAAAACAGCTCTAAAATGATTGATGTTGAATTTTATGCACCATTAATGTGGACTTATTTCTCATGGTTTTCCTGCTTATCATAATAAAATGGAGCAGGACCTAGTTCCTGTGTGTGTTGGGGTGGGGTGTTTGTCTCTGGGCTTCCTCTCCAAGGCTTTGGGACCCCCAGCCCACCTCTGTGGGACATTCTGTGATGCAGAAGGCTTTGGGCGCTGGGCAGACAGCCTTGGAGGAGGTGACCCCTGGCTTCAGAAAACTCGGGTGTGTTCCAACTAGAAAACTGCCTCCTATGCCAGCCTCCCACACCAAGGGGCCAGCCGCAGTGGGGGCTTCGCCCTGGATGGAAGAGTCAGGAGAAGGGATGCAGGGGCAGGGTTGCTTCTTGCAAGGGGGGGGGGATGTGTCCTGGGGTGTCTTCTGCAGACCTCAGACCTTGGTTCTTCTGGCCCGTGGGGCTGGGCTGGGGTCCCAGGCACTCAACCCCACCCCCCAGCCCTTCCCTCGGAGAGGCGGTGCCCGGGACCCGCTGCCCCCCGCGGCCCGCGCACCTGGGACGCGCGCTGCTCGCCAGGCCGGGACGGCACGGGTGTGGCTCGGCCCGCGTCCTTTCTCTTTCGCTTTCCTCTGGGGGAGGGAGGGCGGGACTCCCCTGGGGAGGGCGGCCGGGGAACCCCAGTGCCTTGCTCCCCGCCGTCGGAGCCGGGTCCTGCCCCCGTCCCGGATGCGCTCGCCGCCGCTCGCCCTGCAGCCGGGACTCCATGGAGGTACCGCGCGGCGCTGCCCCGATGGGGGGGGGCGGTGGTTGGCGGTGGAGTGGAACTTTCCCCGAGAGCCCACGCCCGGCCCCACCCGGCTCAGGCCCCGCACCCCGCGGGCCCCCTCCGCCCCGCTTGCGCCGGTGCTGCCGCTTT